AAAATGCAATGGAAGCCGACATGGTCCTCTCCTCGATGTTCATCTCTCAAACGCGCAATAACACAGAGCTATAACAGTATTCAACATTAGAAGGAGCTTCCATTTCATATCCAAGTTTCATCTCCTTCGGAAATTCCTAAGGTGAAGCTTTTGTTTCATATTTGCGTCGATTCCGATTTGATGGGTACTCTTCATTGGAATAATGAATCCATTTATTTTTATCCTTTTTCTTTCAGAAAAAAAAAAGATTGTTTTTTTACTAATAATTTCCCCCCAATTTTCATGCTTTTCATATGGGTTTCTTACAATTAGCTTGTTTGTGTTATTGCGTCGATTGTTGTTGTTGTTGTTGTTTGAATCATTTAATTGGGAAATTCCTGTTTTTGTTTCAGATTGTGTTTGATTAGGGTTGGAAAGGACAGATTTTCATGATGTTGGATTATTCTTGTTCGATATTCATATATAGATTTTGACGTATTTTGCTGGCCCTTTGCAGAATCTGGTCTTTCCTTGGTTGATCAATTGAATCCATGGTGAGCTCAAATTTAACATGTGTGTGCTGTGTGTGTATGTGTGTGTGTGTGTGTGTGTGTGTGTTTCGCCTTTCCCTTTCGATGTCTGAAACAGAAAAGAAGCTAGTGTATGCTCTAATTGTATTGCTTTTTTTTTTTTTTATGGATTTGTTGTGATTAGGGCGAAGCTCCAGCTTTCATTATAGATACTATCGAGGAGACCAATTTTCCCTTAAAGTCTAAGGGATGTGAAACTGCTGTCAGCATTGGTTGCAATAAGACAGTATGAAAATCCGATTTATCAATCGAGAAAAAATAAAAATAAAAAACATCTTTTCATGTTTAGTGGTGATTTTTTCATCACAAATGAATCTTCTTCAACTATTTTTATATTGTCCAGTATGTCATTGGTGAAACCGACGACAGATCTGTGTCTGCATTTGGAGTCAGAGTTCTCGATAAATCTACTGGTGAATGGTAATGTTTGGAGAATTACTTTGATAGTTTGATGCAATTCTGTCCTTTTTAGAAAAAGAAAAAAGTTTCGGGTTTTAGGGGATTAAGAATTTATATTTTCTGTGTAGGATTGTCCCGGTTGTGTTGGGGACTAAACCGAAGCTGTCGAAGGGCCATTCAGCCATTGAATTAGATGAAGATCGAATTCTGGTCATTAAGAGCAACACGACCTCGGACGATACATTTTGGTTTCTCGAGGTTGGTGTTTGAGCTCCTAATACATTGATGCACTATTAGTGGAGTGTATGCAAAAACTAAAAAAAAAAAAAGTGATTTTCAGCTCTAGGGTCTGATTCTCAAATAAATAAGCTCCTTGGTTCATGCTGTTGATTCTGAATAATCTTTTGATCAAAATTGTAAATGGCCATTGTATGTATGATGTTTTTCACTTTAGTTTGCTTAGTCAAGATTTATCTCATTGAAGTTGTGAATGAAACTATTCATAATCTCACTAAAACAATTGAAAATTAAAAGTCAATCATTATGGTATATTTTTCAACAGAATACACGATTCGCCGACTAAAGTATTTCTAACCATCAATTATTACTAATTAAATATTTCACTTCTCCTAAAAACAACTTTTCTATCTCCCCATCTCTATTTTTTTTTTATTTTTTTCCCCAAAAAAAATCTATATCCAATTGCAACCTAAAA